TCCTACCAGAGGAGAAATTATGCTAAAATTAAAGGAACATTTAAATTATTGATCTGTTGGGGAGGAATAATTTTAACTGTATTAAATGTAAACACAACCATTAATTTAGCATCAATAGGAACAAAACTGACTGACCCTACAGACAATGTTGCATTAAAACCTTCCTGCTGATGCGTTTTCTGAGTCCTGCAGCAGAGATGGGATCACATATTCTGACGAGCTGGAGGATAAAGGACGACACTCCAAGGCTACCTGGAGGTCCAGGATGAAGTCACTGCAGCCTCTTTTCTCCAATGTCACCAAAACAATCTGATTATTAGATTAAAAAAAAACTGGAACGTTTCCCAGACAGAAAAGAAAAAAAAAAACAGGATTATTTCATCATATTGAATCTGGTAATAAATTGAAGACCAACAATAGAAAAACTCCAGAAGGTTAAACTGAACCATGAAGATGAGGATTTTAGCTGTAGGTAAATGAAGTTATAGGAAGGAATTGATTTATATTGAATGTTTTGCAGCAGATTGAAGGTTTTCTGTGAAGATTGACAGATTAACTTGATACTTAGAAGCATTGCAGTCGTCTTCCCTGTCCAAATGTCAATCTTTGTCTCTGAGCATAGCTGAAGTCATCCGTTTCCTGGTTAGCATGCTGTCCAGCTAAGATATTTTGGGAGTTTTTTCTGAGAAATGTCAGCTGCTCTGAGACGTTCAGAAACTCATCCTGACCTCCAGAGTGCAGCCGTGCTTTTCACTGTCTGTTTTTTTGGATTCTGAAATGTTACCTTCCTGTCCTGTTTGTGTTTCTTTCCTTCAGAGACAGTTGCTCAGCTGATTCCTGATCCAGACTCGCCTCTCTACGAGCGCGTGCAGCAGTACCGCCAGCTCCTTGATGGCCTGCCCATGGATGCCTACACGCATGGCTGCATCCTCCATCCAGAGCTCACCACCGACTCTATGATCCCAAAGTACGCCACCGCAGAAATACGTAGTAAGTGACGCCCTGCACAGCGCATGCACAGACATCTCGAATTCTTCTCACAGGAGAAAAGGAGATGGTCTGGTTTGCAGATTCTTCAGAGCATTGCTGTTAAGGTGTTTTCTTGGTGGGGAAGATAAAATGTTCTGATGGTTTCTATCAAAACATCTGGAGATCAAGTGATCAGATGTATTAATATACACAAAAACAAAGAACCATTAAAAAGCTTAGCTGCTGGATCCCTTCTCTAAATATCTGCTAAAAGCTCAAGCAGATTATTAATAGATACCAAAGTTTATGGGGGACAAAAAAAAACAAAAAAACAAGGGGAGATTCAGAGTCTTTTGTCGCTTTAGCAACTTTTTAGACCCCTCTTGCACTTTTATTTCAAAAAAGCTCCTAGCGCCAAATCTAGAA